AGCAGTTTCACTTATTTTATAAAGGTACGCGCAAACATAAAGCATCCTTCTTATTCAGCTATAAACGATATGACCGCTGCCACCCCCTACCATAATCGACCCGCAGCGAGAAAGCCGTTCTCTTTGCGTGTGAGAAGCTTAAGTGAGGAAATGGGTGTTCCGCTGCTAGAACTTTGTCCTATGCCCACAACAAAACATTTACCACCGTGGCAGTGGCAGCTCATACATTGTGACACTTCCTTTGCCGAGATCACTAAACATGCACCAGAAGCACATATTAAAATGCATTTCCGACAACTCCAGTCCAACTACTCATGCGTAGAGTTTTATACTGACGCTTCTAAGTCGCATGCAGGGGTGGCTTATGCAGCCGCCGGACCATCCTTCTCGGAATCCGGTGTGCTGCACCCGGAAACAAGTATATTTACGGCTGAGGGTTATGCACTATTGTCGGCTGTGAAGCATATACGGAAATCAAACATACAAAAATCAATTATATTCACAGACTCGTTAAGCATCGTAAATGCATTAAGATCCCTTTTCAGATTTGGAAATCCAGTAATAATTGAGCTGTATTCCGTTCTGTGTACAGCGTATATGTCCAACCAGCATGTTACTGTTTGCTGGGTTCCTGGCCGTAGAAGCATCGAGGGCAATGTGTTAGCTGACCAAATGGCCACGTCAATTATATTGCGCGCTATTAACCCTACAGCTACTGTCCCTGCAACAGATCTAAAACCCTTCCTACGTAAGAAACTGCGAAACCACTGGCAACGCTTGTGGGACACAAAAATAAATAATAAGCTTCACTTGATTAAGCCGCGGTTGGGTTACTGGCCCTCCGCTACAAGAACACGGCGAACTGATGTCCTATTCTGTCGCCTCAGAATAGGACACACTTATGGTACCCATAGCTTTCTGCTGACTGGCGATGAACCTCCTACTTGTGGTAGATGTGGTGAGAGGCTAACCGTCCTCCACGTCCTCCTGGAGTGTCCGGAAGCTGAAAGTGAGAGAAAGAAATATTTTGCTTCAGCATACCGCTATAATCTTCCTTTACATCCGATTATGTTTCTCGGTGAAGAACCGCTTTTTGATGCAAAATCAGTTTTAAGCTTTTTAAAGGATGTAGTATTGAATGTTTTGAGCCCAACATTGAATGTTTTTAGCCCAACAGGTTCATAGTGCATCCTCTGTTCAGAAGATGCCGCTGTGATAGCAGCTTTTAATGAGCCCGGGCCTCCATGCTTTTGTTTTAAGGGCTCTGTCGAGGCACTGGTGCTCCATGCCAAGTTTTTATTTCACATACATATCACTTTTAAACTTTTTTATGTCTCCATAGCACACATCATTTGTCATTGCCATAATTTTACTATATATATATTTTTACGCACCTACAGCGACTGTTTTTTAGGCCCATTTACAGCTACATCACATCTGTTTTATCTACACTGCACATCGCACAGTTCATTATCATCGCTCTGGCGCTCTTTGGCCACATCTGGCCCTTGCGCCAATAAACTCCACTAATCAGCCTATTATGTCGAGCTGTGACGTATATGGACGTCTCTTCCGATCCGCCTGTGGCCGACGGAGATTATGTGGTGTCACCTAACGCTACCGTCCTCTCTTCGTTCAATGTAACGTTCCCGCACACGATTATCACTCTGAAGGACAACGTAGCACGTCTTCCTATTGTCAACTTCGGAATTTGCGCGCAAGTACTGCTCCGATGAATATGCCTTGCAACACTTTCCTTGGCCAGTGACTACAACATTTCCGCTTTAATAGATACACCGTCACATCCCAATCTTGAGTTGGGCACTACCTGAGATGGCATAACGAAAATCATCGCACCTGATCTCCCTGCCGAGCATGTGCACGCGCTTCGTGGCCTTCTTGCGTCGTATGAAGACATCTTTGATCTGCACGACCGACCACTAGGCCAAATGACCATCGTAAAGCATCGGATTAACACCGGCGATGCAAATCCAGTACATCGGCGGCCCTCGGATATCCTCCACCGAACGGCACGTGATCCAGAAAGAAGTCGACAAGATGCTTGCTCGGAACATCATTGAGCCTTTTTCAAGCCCATGGGCTTCGCCTGTCGTCCTCGTCGAAAAGAAAGATAACAGCTGGCGTTTCTGTGTTGACTACCGGAATCTTAACAAGGTAATGAAAAAAGAGACATGTATCCCCTGACGCGGATAGATGACGCGCTTGACTGCCTTAGTGGAGCAAATTATTTTTCTTCCATCGACCTCCGTTCCGGCTACTGGCAAATAGCAGTTGATGACATGGACCGTGAAAAGACAGCATTCATAACTCCCGACTGACTCTATCAGTTTAAAGTAATGCCGTTCGGGTTATACAATGCCCCAGCTACATTCGAATGAATGATGGACGATCTCCTTCACAGTTTTAAATGGTCAATCTGCTTGTGTTACCTTGATGACGTCATTGTCTTCTCACCGACTTTTGAAACACACCTCGAGCGTCTCTCGACTATTCTTTCTGCTTTCCACAAGGCAGGGCTTCAGTTGAACTCGTGCAAATGTCACTTCGGCCGCCGCCAGCTCACTGTCCTCGGTCACCTTGTTGATTCTTCTGGTGTTTGTCCCGAGCCTGAGAAAATCTGTGCAGTCAAAGATTTTCCTTTTCCGACCTCCGCGAACGACGTTCGGAGCTTTCTGGGCCTCTGTTCCTACTTTCGCAGATTTGTGCAGAATTTCGCTCACGTCGCGCGCCCACTCACGGAACTACTGAAGAAAGATGTGACTTTTGTGTGGGGACTTGAACAAGCTAGAGCATTCGCTGAGCTGACGTCCAGACTTACGACGCCACCGATTCTCGGCCACTTTGATATGTTCACTCCAACCGAAGTGCACACCGACACATGTGGCCATGGAATCGGAGCAGTTTTGGCACAAAGACAGCATGGCTGCGAGCGCGTCATTGCATACGCTGGCCGTCTATTATTGCCAGCAGAACGAAATTACTCAATCACTGAACGTGAATGTCTTGCGCTCGTTTGGGCAGTGGGTAAATTTCGGCCATATTTGTATGGACGGCCATTCACAGTTGTCACTGACCATCACGCCTTATGCTGGCTGTTGTCCTTAAAAGATCCTAGTGGACGTCTCAGCCGGTAAGCTCTACGGCTACAAGAATATTCGTACACAGCAGTCGTTTACAAATCGGGCCGCCATCATGCAGATGCCGACTGCTTGTCGCGTCATCCAGACGACCCACCAGACGTTTCTGAGAGCGGCGAGTCTACTTGCGCGCTGGCACTTTCCGCCTTCGGCAAAATCTGAGATGAGCAACGTCGTCATCCTCACTTGAGAGATATCATCCTTCGGCTGACTGGTCCCACAACTCCTCCGTCTCTCCGTATGTTCCTGCTCCGAGACGGCGTATTATATCGCTACAGCATGCATCCTGACGGACCTGAGCTGCTACTGGTCATACCCCAACATATGCGTCAGACTGTCCTCGCGCGGTTACATGACATTCTAGTGGCTGATCACTTAGGAGTCTCAAGAACTTATGATCGTGTTCGACGTCGCTTCTTCTGGCCTGGTATGTACCGATCCGTCCATCGTTACATCGCTTCTTGTAAATCCTGTCAACACCGCAAAAAGCCAACAACCCTTCCAGCTGCACACCTTCAGCCCATTTAAATACCATCGGAACCATTTTATAGGGTAGGTCTCGACCTACTTGGACCTTTCCCTTTATCGGTTAATGGGAACAAGTGGATAGCAGTCGCCACGGACTACACTACTCGGTATGCCATCACGCGGGCCCTTCCTACCAGTTGTGCAACCGACGTCGCCGACTTTCTACCAGAAGACGTGATACTACATCACGGCGCCCCTCAACAACTACTTACCGATCGGGGTCGCTACTTCCTATCCCAGGTTATACAAGACATATTGCACTCTTGCGCTACAAGACACAAGTGCACAACAGTCTATCACCCTCAAACCAACGGGCTCACAGAACGGCTAAATCGAACTATAACAGACAAGCTCGCCATGTACGTTTTCACCTACCATCGTGACTGGGACGCGGTCCTGCCATTTGTGACATTTGCCTATAACACGTCCCGGCATGACACTGCAGGTTTCTCGCCTTTCTTTCTCATATATGGACGAGAACCCACGCCACCTTTTGACACGCTCCTCCCAACCAACCCTTACCCACACATTGGACTACGCCCGCGATGTTATCTCTAAAGCTCTATGGGCACGTGAAATTGCTCGCCTGCATCTTAGTGATTTGCAAGACCGCCAACAACTGCTGTACAATGCCCCCCATTGCGATGTCAACTTCCAGCGTGGTGACACGGTCCTTCTCAGCATGCCATCACGGCGAGTTGGCCTGTGCGAAAAGCTGACTTCGCCATACTTGGGTCCGTACCGTGTCGTGCGCCAAGTTACCGACGTTATCTATGAAATTGAACCATTTCACAGCACCAGCGCCCGCTCGTGTTCTGACGTTGTGCACGTCTCTCGGCTGAACCGATACCACTCGGACCAACCAAGCACCGAGACGATGCCTTCGCCGCCGGGGGGTGATGCTACGTAGCGCCACGGATAACTCGAAACTCGATAAGGAAGAGGACGATGTCAGAGCTCTCGTGCAGACTGGGTTCCATCTTGTATGCCTGCTTGTTTTCTCGATAGTAAACATATTTTTCCGACACCTTTTTCCCGTAACAATATCATTCGTGGTGCCTAGCACTCGGTGATAGGCTAGTGTTCAGTGGTAAAAGGTTGTGCTAATCTCTTATAATATGTCTGCATGCGAATGTTCATTTTAAAAATAAATTAACATTATTGCAGGTCCACGAAGACGGTTAAAGTTTTCATTGCTAAAATTTCAAAAATACTATGTATGTTCTGAAATCTCCATGTCAATTTCAATTCTGGTCAGTTTATTTGCGAATTTATGTACTTTCATATGTCATCAGAACGCTCTTTTTTTTTCAGGGTTCACTATGCCTGCCATATGTATCTCTGCCTACCATAGACCTGCTCAGTGACATCAGCATACGAAGTTGCGTCGTGGGAGCAACAAATGACCTGTTTAAGCAAAAAAAGCACCTCTTTGATGTCATTGTTGAGGTATGTCAGCAACAACATCATTATGCATTTTTGACTTGTTTGCACGCTTTTTATAATGTTATGAAGGAATGGCTTTATTAGCATCGACCGTATTGTCAATATGCACTGACCTCGTGGGGGCTGCCATATTGTTAATAAAACGGGCAGAATGGTAGCTTTGATTATGACAAAACTACATATCTGATGTCACATGAATACTTACTGTATGCACACTTCGGTAACTGACTCTCTTTTATATCATTACAGTTTTTTTAAGGTGCTACCGCCTAGTTACATTGTCTTCCTTGCAGAGAACCCCAGATTCATCACCGAGTGGGGTTGTCCACATAGTCTGAAAAAATAAAACTACATAAATAAAGAAGGTGTTACGGATTGTATATGGTAGATATGATGCAGGAGCTCAATTTCACCACAGGGAATGGTCATTTAACTGCCAGGATGACTAACAATGATTGAATGGTGATAGGTGCTCTTGGAAACTACTGAAACTAACAGATTGGCTTGTCGCTAGTGAACATCAGAAATTGTCATCTGTTTGATGCATAGTACCTATGCATAGGTCTAAGTGACACTCGGTAGCTAGTTAACATGAATTAAGGACCTAATTAGAGGATATCAAGCCAATAGCCAATTTTCTAATGTCGTTAGGAGGATGGTGTATGGTAGTGCTGACACATTTGTAATAGTTGGCTTTTCAGTTCAGTCATAGCTTACGCGCTTTAAAGGGGGACGAAAGTGCTTTTGCCACTCCCGTCATGTTTCCTGTGCCACCTCCTTTCTGCATGGTGCTGATTTTGTCTCGCACTTGTTTTCTGGGGGCATCACGCCGTGATTTTTTGCTGGCACGCCATTCTCACTGCACTCCTTCATGCAGGAAATGTCGATGAGCCAGCGTCATTCAAGATGCCTAAGCGAACAATAAGGTCACCTATAGTTTATCTCTTTAATGAGCTTAAACTTTGGGGTTGTGTGCTAGCATGTGCTTGCGTAAACCAATCAGTACCTAAGTTTTCAGCTTAAGAATTTAAGCTTATGACTGTTGAAAATTTGAGGCATTATTTTTGGTTCTGTGTTTCAAGAATGGTATGAGTCTCCAAGTGAGTGTGCTCATGTATACATACAAATGTTTGTGCAATTAAAAGGTAATGAATTGAATGTTTTAAAGTTTCATGCTGGCGAGCTGTAGTTTTTTTTCTGAGCATCTTGGAACACTTGGTATCATACATTAGAAGTCATATTAAATCAGAGACCCCCCCTTCTTTTTTTTGTCTGTATTTTCTGCAGGTAGATGAGTGCAAAATCACTATCTTAGACAATGACCTTCGGCGGCAGCTTTACCTCACCATGGAAGACCTTCGTTTTGCTGACTACTTAGTCAAGAACGTCCTTGATGACTCACGGGACCTCTTTCTTGATGGCACATGTCAGTACAACAGTGCTAAACCTGCTGCTTTGTGATCAACTAGTTACAACATGTTTTGTATGACCGACCAGTTAGCGTTCATCTCTTGCGACAGCTTTTTATTGTGTCTGTGCACCCTTATATGTTTCTTGTTTACCCTTGTACAGTAACACAAAATTCCCTTTCTTAAATTTTTATTTTGGTTATAGTCAGTATTTTAAACAAGTAGCTCCTCCTCGCATAGCTTCGAGACATCCTCGCGCTTTACACTCAATGGTCAATTTATTCTACCTAAAGGTGAACTTTGAACTTGCCTTGCAAGCTGTATGCATAAGGCCTTTCTTCAGACCTCGACACCACCATGTTCTCATTGAATAAAGGAGGCCTTAAACTTTTTATTTTGTACTGTAGAATTCTATTTAATGACTTCAAGGATTAGAGAAGCATTTTCCATTTATTGGGAGTTCTCTTTTTCTACTGAAAACCGTCATTAAAATACACGTGTATGTATTTTAAAGCGACCATGTCATGTGTACCTTTTTTCTTTTTATGCCTCTGTCATTCCATTTTCTGCTTGATAGAGCCATCCTAAATAAACTGTTGATCTGTTCATTCATGCATGCAATAACTTCAGGCAGAACCCTGAGTAATTTCAGTTGGATCTAGTTTGCTTTTGTCGGTGCTGTAAAAACAGGTTGCAGCTGTCACTACCAAACATAACCACTCATCTAAGTGAAACGATTGCTTCAAATTACTCATAAGATTTGACTTCTCAGTGGGTGTTTTATGCGCTGACGGAAGAAAGTACTGCATGCCTATACATTGCACCTTTGAGTTCTATTCCACGTGAAATAAGTTGTACTATTTTGCTTGCATCTTCTTTTTTTTTCCAAGCATTGTTTAGGGCACTGTTAGGGCTGCTCTGCACAAGTATGATATACGCATTTTAACCTTAGCAGTTTGAGAAATGTGTCCTACCAAAAGCTGCCTCAGTGCAGGACACATGTTGGCATGACGTGTGAAAAGACCGGCAGAGATGGGTACATTGACGTTTTATGTCAGTTTTACTTTCTAATACTGGTCTTAGTTTAATTTACTGCATTGCTTAGTCTCTGCTTCGTTACCTTTGATGCCATGTGGTAGCATGCGAGGGTTTGTCGTCCTGTTGCCTGCTGTTATATTCATTTGTGGTATGATGTGTCTTGGAAGAATTAAGGCCAACACTTCGGCTAGCTAGGACATGACAAAGATTTGAACATTCCTTAGGACTGCACAAGGAGCACAAACAATTGTTTTCATCATTTCTTAGTGTGTACATTGGCATCACAATTTTTCTTGCTTATACTGGAAAGTGTGAAATGTCAAGTTCGGTTTGACAAGACTTTCTTTCATTGTTACTAGTGAGAAAGGAAGTTGTTGCAAAGCTGTTGTTCAAAGTTCTTCTTCCATTGTTGTCTGGTTGACCAGTGTTCATTTTTATTCATAGGCTGGCAAGGAGGTGAGGAATGGCTAAGGTCAGAGTTCAAGGTGTACCTAATAAGTCTGTTGAAGACTGCTCAGTTGGAAGGTGCGTACAGTTTTACACTTAGTGCATACGTGCTGCACTTAGTGCATGCGTGCTGCTTCTGGCCATGCTGAACATAATGCACTTTGCCTTTGTATGAATTTCACCGGGGCATGTTTGCATGAGGAGCCTTGGCTGAAGCTCAGCTTTTTCATTGGACTGCTTCTTGTTGTTTGATATAATTTAAGTTAAAAACATTGAAGAAGCTAGTTTTTCGAAAGTGAGATGTGTACATTGTTGTGAAGCAGAAACATGTTATTAGCCATTGTTTCGTGATGATGTAACTGCAGTCAGTGCTGCTGCGTGGTCAGGTAATTTTTTTTTAGTATTTACTGTAAATTTGTGAGAAAGTGCTCCCCCTTCGGCAACTCAAATTTACTGGCGAAGTGAAATGCGGAACGTTCCCGAATGGCTTCAAACTTCAAGATGGCAGTGGCCAAGCCTTCCCACTAGTAAAAGAGTTATGGCAACTTCACACCTGTGGTTGTCGTGCCTGTAGTGCCCTTTTGTCTCCTTCTCTCTCTCACTTGACTTTTTTTTTCTATTTATATCTCTCTGTTTCTCTATTTCACATGCGGAGTTTGTTTGATGCTCACTCCTTTTGTTCTTGGTAGTAGGGCTTGCTCGATCCCCAAGACGCATTCCACCCTAAGGTTTTCTGTTTGCTCTGGCCAAATTACGACTGGTCTAGTGGTTAGGTTAAGGTGCTCGACTGCTGACCTGAAGATCGCGGGATTGAATCTCAGCTAAGGCAGGCACATTTTTGATGGAGGCAAAAATGTCTGAGGCCTATGTATTACTTTTCACTTATATTAAGGTGCGCGTTAAAAAGCCCAGGTTGTCCAAATTGCCGTTCCGAAGCCCTTCACTACAGCGTCCCACATAATCTTTATAGTGATTTTGGGACGTCAAATGCCAACAACTATTATTATGATTGTCAGATTACGACCAGCTTAAACAAGGCACGTAGTCGAGAGTTTGGCAGACATGGACGAAATAACATAGCGCCTACCAAGGTAAAAATCGAAAACAACAAGGTACATAACAATGATTCAGAAACAGAAAGGCAGCATGATCAGGCCATGGGAAGTATGGCATATTAGTACCTCTGACAAGAAGCTGACACAAATGCAAAAGACAAAGATCTCGGAGGCCCTACGTTTGTTAACTAGTGTGTCATAGACACAGTCATTGAATTACAAATGCAGATCACGAAGGCAATGCTTTTGCTCACAGGGACCTGGAAATCGCCATGGGTGTCATGTGCCACGTTGTGGGGCTATTGCTGTGTGGGGTACAAAAAAAAATCTAATTTTGTTGATATATGTCAGGTGCAGGCGCATGGATGCAATGCGTGATAAGGGATCATAGCGTGAGTGAGAGGGCTTTCTTGGAACAACCCGCAAACTTAAAATTAGCTGTGACCTTGTAGCAAGCGTGTGCTCGGAATTTCACTGTAATACTAGTTGCCGACAAGTTATTTCTCCAAGTTAGATACTTTGTTCAAATGCCTCTTTAGTCTTCAATGTATGTGCTCATTGGATGTTGCATATTCAAAATTAATGAGTTAACCTTTTCAGAAATGACAATAATTTTGATGTGTGCTATAAAGGGAAAAAAAAGTGTTTCTAGTCACCTTTGGTCAAAACTTATGAACTTCTTGTCAGAAAGTGAATTATTGTGTAGCAGCTTAGCTGCATGCTGTGGCCATAACGTGTTGCTATAATTATGTTAAGTTTGAATGGAATGTAAATTTTTTAAGTACTATGTGACTAATTGCTTATAGTTTCATAATTTATTTTTATTGATTCATTGATAGCATGATATTTTCATGCTGTGGTTGGGTTCTGTATTAAATTCCAAGCAAATATTTATTGTTCCTCACTTTTTACCCTGCTCTACGATGCAACCAGATGCTGTCAGTAGTAAGGACCAGGAAGCATTTAATACTGCCTTCCTGAGTGCCTGGAAAACAACGCATAACTTCAAGATGTGGAACAGTGTCGAGCGCCCTTGCCTTGCAGATATTCCCATGGGGTGAGCTGGCACTTGACTCACCGTTTGACATGCGAATTGTTTGCCGATATATGCATGTAATTAAAAACACCGTGCGAGTCACATTCAGTACTTGTCTCCACATCAGAGAGATAACTTTCAGCACATTGTAGCTGAAACGTTACCTGGTTGCTGCCACCGATGTAGTATTTCTGGCCAGTTGCTCTGGTCCTTTCTATCTTGGAGTAGTCAGATCCACTGCCAAACCCCTAGTGACATCTTATCCAAATGAGTGCCTTTTTTTACTCAGAGCCGTGAGAGCGTTGAGTATAAGCACTCTACTCCAGGGGCGTAGCCAGAATTTTTTTTTTTTTTTTGATGGGGGGGCACTTTTTAATTCCAGAGAGGGCACCCCCTTGAAGTGGTCATTTCTCACTATGTATGCCATGCAAAAAAAATATTTCGATGGGAGGGGTGAGCTCAGGCCCAGTGTGCCACCTTCTGGCTGCGCCCCTGCTCTGCTCTACAAGTGCTTGCCCCTCCTAAGTAAAAAAGAAAAAAAAAGAAAAAAAACCTGAGGAACTGAATTGGTCAACGCCACATGACTGCTTCGTATGATTTCACTATGTCACAAAATGTTAAAGTGCCTTGGAAGATTTTAGCTGAGCCAGATGGAACTAGCTGAATGCATCTGTGTTACTCAATTTTGGCCAGCTGAGCATGGACTTACAATTCTTCACACTCTATCCACCACACATAAAAGTGACCAAGGGTACATCTAAATGTGTATCTAACCAGTACATATCAGCATTCAGTGCAATATTGTCTTTATCTTGTAGGATGCTTATAGCAAGAACGCTTGTGTACGATGCTATGTCTGTTTAATCTTGCTTGATTCATATCATCCATGCATTTGAAATTTCAGTTAAGTAAACTATTATTTTAGTGTCCAGTTAATTTTTGTAATCTTAGTACATTGCTTCAAGCTTCAGCATCACTTTCATTTATTTTTTTCCTAGTCATTACTACAAGGGCCAGCTGACTGTTGCTGACATGAAGTTACGGATTTCTCAGTAAGTTGATGAAAACGGATGCTCTTGGCACAAAGTTACCTTGAAGGGGACTTTATGTGTCAATTTATGGTTGGTGTCATTTCAGTCTTAGGTTTTATATATATATATATATATATATATATATATATATATATATATATATATATATATATATATATATATATATATATATATATATATATATATATATATATAGTAATTTCATAATTTTATGTTGTTGCTTACTTTGAAAGGCCAGGGATCTGTACATTTACTGCTTTGGTTCATCACTCAGCAGAAAGCAAATGTATTAAAAATAAATCTAGTTGTAACTTGTGGTTATGCTGTGCTTTAATTTTTAGTGCATTCAATTCCCCGTATGACAAAATGAGTTACATAATAGAAGAATAGTAGTTCTTGAAATTTTCTGAAAAGATTGACTAAAGTAAAAGTTGTTCTCAAATGGATGCTGATTGAACCTTTTTTCTTAGTACAAAATGAAAAGTTTTTCATCCTTTTTTTGCCTAAGAATGCAGCTGCAGAACCTATGGTAGGTTCTATATTTTTTCATCTTTGTAGCATTGCAAACGAGCAGTCGTGCACACAAGGAGCAGCAGTGATGAGAAAGGCCTCTTGGTGAAGTCCGAGAGTTCTCTCATTTTATATCAATAGCGTTAAAGGGCTCGTTTCGCAAAGATTATGGTGTCGGGGTCGGCATCACTGGTTGGGAGCGAGAAAACATCATCTTCTCTGTGACCAAAAAATCGAGAAAGGTAAAAAATAAAATAAATAATAAAAAATTCTGGGCCCGGGTGAGAATCGAACCAAGGCCATTTTCATGGCAAGGGGTTGTTCTATCACACAGCCATGCATCTGCTTCGAAATACAGTGAAAGGAACTTTCTCTTCTTGAAAATGCAGGGAATATAACTGCTGCTTTACAAACACACGTGTCCTGTACGCAGGCTTTGCAATACAACATTTAATATCAGAGCAATAACGTGCGTTACAAGTGTACATTGCCATCAGGCATCAGCATATGTGATTATCATTACGACTTCGTAGTTTATAGCCAGCCACCCATTACAAAAGGCACAGACCTTACTGTGTGTATTCCCTTAAGATAAAGTAGTGGGTGCATAGCAAGTGTGAAAACATTTCACACGCATAAAATGCTCATAATTTAAAGCATGCTAATCATTACACAGAATGCAGCCATATGTGAAAGCTTCACTGATAAGCCACTTTCAATTTTACTGATTGTGTTGTAGAAATCAAGAATATATAAACTTCTCGTCTAACATCATGTAATAAAATGTATGCACTAAGTGTTTGAAGCATGCACTGGAGACAGTATATCGCTGTTGTGTTCAACTCTTAAAAACGTGAAGCTTATGGTTCCCCCAATTTTTTATTTCAGTATAACACACACACAATAAATTATTTAAGGTGGCAGTATCTGGTAGCTCTTACAGAAAATGAACACGATTGTTGCATCACAAATGTTCTCATCACAGCTTGCTGCAAAATGCTGCATAGACATGCTATACCTATAGGAAACATGAGTGCTCATTCCTACTGTCCTACATTTGTCTCTATTTTTCTGATGTGAAGCTCCATCCAGAACTCTGAAAGGGGCCGCAAACTCAACCAAGCCGTGGTGTCCACTGGAAGAGCAATGGTACAAACGACAGGGAAGGTCGTTGGTGAGTATTTGTTCCTTGTCTTTAAATCACTGGAGTCTGTTGCCCTGCCATCAGGAAGCGCAATGCTTTCCTTTCAGAAGGCAAAGAGGAATATTTTCAGCCATGTACATTGTTGGTTTAACAATAATTATCAACAATTTTTTTCCAGGAACAAAAGAGAACAGGATGGTGCTAACAAAATTTGTGTGTGCACACATTTAGGTGATTTCTTGCATGGAATGTGCTGAATTGGATCATCATTTTCTGTCATTGCATAGCTTTATGCTAGTGAGCAAATCTTTATCCATGGTACTTGTACACCTCCAGCCATATTTAATTTGCCCACTCTTTCATGCTTCTTCACAATAAAATCTCTAGCAGGGTAGTTCATCGCTAGTGAAGTACAAAATGGGATAATTCACCTCCCATTCTCAAGGATATCACATGTATTTTTGAAACTGTGCAGTGTGTCAATATTTTTTACTAAGCTCGTTTGAATAGTAGTTGGAGAGGAGAGGTGCATTCCAAGTTTTGTGTTGGAGTCCTTCACCCTTGGCCTCCTCTTGGCTTCGCCTGTGCATGTCATGCGGAGTACATTAGCTCTGTCACATTACAGGTGTTAATTCAAGAAAAACTGGTATGCGGTAAATCATAAGCCGGGACACCGCAACCCCTGTATTTATAAATGATCCTTGACTTGAACTTGACTTAAAGGGCCCCTAAACCACCCAGCGTTCGAAATTTAGTTGTTGTTTGTTGAGTTTACAACAGACACGTAGTCGTGAGAATTTTTCAAAACAGTGCTGTAATAGCGAAGTTACATGCGTTTGATGATCGAAACGGGCGATCACTTGTTTTCCTCTTTCTTACGCTACTCTCTTCCAAAACTGCTTGGCCCCTCTTCGCTGAGTCAGCTGAGTGCCCCTCCTCATCTCGCGTGGCATACGTCTCCGCTGACGCGCTGTTCGAGACGGCGTCTACTTCCGGTTGCCGCGATCCGCCACTCCGACGCCCCAGCTCGCCGTCAACTGTGTTGTGTGTGTCATCTTGGCGCACTGATCGTTGACTAACTGCTGTTGCTGTCGTGCCGGCCTGTGCCCCTACGCTAGCGACTTGGCGGTTGCGTTACGGGCCGCAGATGTTGATTTACAAGCGGCAACATGACCAAGAACAGCAAGGTGCGCGCGAACAGCTGTTTGCAGAGTGACCGAAAGTCGGCAGTTGTCGTTTGGCCAATCGCAAGCATCGAAATCGGTGATCTCATCGAGTTTCACTGGTGATGTCACACATGTCAGTGGCAGCAATGGCGGGGACTGGAAAGGAGAAGCTATTGTTTTTTCGAAATTGTGGCACGCCCGCTACCAGTAGCTCTGAGGTGTGTGGCATCTTTGATCGCGACTGCATTCTGCATGCGATGTGCTTGTTTACTTGAAATGTTTGAGAAAATATCTGAGGGGGTTTAGGGGTCCTTTGAAACCGCCTTCAATGTAGTATGCTTGTAATGCGTCTGTGGGATTGTGCTGCCTTGGCACCGCCTAAAGACAGCACGTTCGAAGCGCGTTGGTGCTGCATTGAGGTCGTTGGCAAGTCGAGTCAAGCAGTGTTTCTGAATACAAAGGTAAGACAAACACAAATGAGTGCATTTCGTCTGCGCTCATCCGTGTTTGTCCTACAGTGTCCCTCTTTAAATTTACCTCCACTCGCCCCCCCCCCTCCCCCGCCCAAAGAGAAAAGCATATTCAAAATACGACGCATATGTTCTCAGCATCTTTGCCCCCCTTCTCCGCCTCCTTAAGGAACTCTCTTAAGGAACTCTCTTGTCGTGGGTGTCCCCCCAGCAAAAAATCCTGGTGCTGCCCCTGGTTTCTTCAAGTACAAGTGTTACTTTATCATTTTTTAATTGTGCTACAAGAACAGGTACAAAAGAGGACACTGGGATAGCTAATGCTAAGTAGTGACAGGCTCTTTCAGTTTATGTGGAAAGATAGTCTAACAGCTGAAGTGAAATCGTTAGTTGGGCTAGTTGGGTTGATGTACATCGTATAATACGTACCTAATAGCACAGCAGGGTTAAATTACGAACTGGAAGAAGAAATAGACACAATGCTGAACTAAATATCATTGAAGACAGCAGTGCACTATCAAACAAACAAAAGAGAATATCCTAAAAAAAAAACAATTAACTATCCAAAACAAAGGTTAGTAAAAATGCTGGTGATCACGACAACATAAAGTTGTACCGCTAATCAAGTCTGGCCCTGCATACGACCACTTTTTAAAATGGGTATGTCCATTTAAGGACGAACACGAAATCGAAGTCATCATTTTAGATTTTGATGAGATTTGCATTGGGCACAGTGTATAGACTCAAAACAATGACTTCGTTTATAAAAAAATTTTATTTGCCTAAAAAAAATACAAATTTTGGCCTGAGAGAGATTTTTTTTGCCAATTTTGCAATTTCCCAACTTTTAGCGCACCTAGTGAGAAAATGGTGAGAGCACTATTTTCAAATGGTGGCATTTTTACTAAACCACGTATGTTTCAGTACAATTTTGAAGTTTAATGGTGAGTGCAAAAACCACAGAAATTATTTTAAAAGGAAGTGTAAATGTTATCAGAGTGAATATGTATCGACTTCTATGATATGTACCGACTTCTACATCAGTAAATTCCTGAAACACAGGTATCTTGTACCACTTACCATGTTTGTTGTCTTCTTCTCAGACAGTCCTTTTACAGCAGAGGGAAATGAAAAACCTATGAGATTCCATTTCAATTGTTCTTTGTTGTAAAGAGCATCGTTTTCTTTCTAAATATCTTAAAGTTCAGGGCTGGAAAGTGCTGTTTGGTGTCAAAATGTGCATATTTTTTAGATGAACCAATTTTTCTTCTACAAATCTAACTTACCTAATGTTATTGTTTTGGGTAAAAAACTTACACCTAGAGTAAATTAATCAAAATTCGGAATGATGACAGGGACCACTTGTTTCTTTTTGTCTGGATACTCCTGGGTGGTCAAATAAATTCTAGTATCCAGCTCAATGTATGGAGTGGCGAGTTTGCATCAGTCAAGTACTCGATACAGAAAGCCTGCAATCGCATTCATTTTCCCTTTTCTTTAAAGAACCAAAGCCACGTAGTGCTTGAAACATGTTGACATGAGAGAAAACATGACTGAATCTTGAACAATCTTATCAGTGATGCCAGTTCAATTTTAATTTGCTTGGTTGTTTTAATGTTGCCTATTGGCTCACGCAGGCGGTGCCTTGACGTCTGCAAAATCTGTTGTCTCGTCATTGTGGTCCCACTTCAGCCCTCCAATGCCTTCATCATCCACCGAATTTGTTCCTCCTGCATTGCCCAAAGAAGAGAGTGTCGAAACAATTTTAAGTCCTACGGAGTGACTCATTTGCACCTTGCACTCTTTTCTGCACCCGAGATATTTATATTAAGACAATAGCCGAGCTGTAATCCAGTTCATGCCACACAGTGGTGACTTTCGTGCTCCACTTGCTGACTTGGCTTCGTTTCCCTCTTTAAAGTTTACGTGCCCTTGTGTACACGTGTGTACATATGCTTGCCTCAACAGAGGTTGGGCAGTGAAAAAAAAAAAAGGCTGTGGCAGCATGGAAGACATATGCTATACTCTTGTACTTTGAGTCTCTACTGTGTGTGCCACAAGATCCGAGTGTTTACATTTTGTCAGCATAATGTTCATGCGTTGATGGGCTGGCCTACCAACATGTGAGATGATTCTCTTTTTGTTTAATCTTTAATTACATTTTTGTATATATTTTTGTGAAGGATTGAGGGGTGGAGTTGCTGCCACTCATGGGTGGACTATCAGTTGCTCTGTGCTTTCGTTCATTTTAGTTAGTCTGCATTGCTGGCCTTCCTCAGCATGTGTTGCATTGTAATGATGATGCTAGAACTGACTTTTGGTTCAGCATTAAAAAGTATTATCTGTGGCCACATCATGATTTATTCTGAAACTTATTAATTGAAATAAATAGATAAATATGTATAAGAATGCATGTAGTGCTAATTAAATTTTTATTTATTTCGGTGATTGCTGTGCAAGCTGTTTGCTCACAAAATTTACATTTAGGATCTTCGGCTGAATAGTTTAATCAATAAATAATCGCTGGGTTAGGGTTTGTTTTTTTTTTCAGAGGAAATAGAGTGTTGTTCATGCTATGTTATTAGCAATATTGCTTTTCATTCTTATTTTCTGATCATTTGTCACATTAATTGGTCTATGTTGAGACTCCCTGTGGCGTTGACATGCAGTACCAAAGCCAACGGTGTATGGTGGAAAGTACGGGGAATAAAAAATATTGTTTGAGATTATGGCCTTGGATCTCTATTCTGATAAGCATTAAGTTTTTTTTTTTTTCATTTTGCAAGAGTAACATTTACAACCTTTGCACTGGGGAATTCACAAATTCATTCAAATTACTAGGTTGTTTCAAAAATTAACTCATGGTAAGTGGCACAATTAGACAACTGCCTGAACTTTTTTTAAATGCTAAGCAAGACGAACATTTTGCACTAACTCCCAGATGTGTACATGAATAACCCTACTTTCCATCTTTGTTTAGGTTAAGATTCTTTTTATTGAGAAACATTTGGTGTGAAATGCATGCATAACTTTACTAATTTTCACCTGATTGTAGCTTATGATTGTAGTTTTGACTAGGTGAACAGGTTATGTAGAAGCTCAGACTGTTGACAGTTCTGTATTGCTTTGTTTTCATAGCTAAGTCTATGTCAAAAGCCTGGAAGCAACTTGAGAGATCACAAAGTTTAATAAACTATAAAGTACGACGATAATGTGGAGCAATAATGCAGTTAAAACTCAGTCTAGCCAAACTCGATTTCGCAAAGTTCTGGATTTACAAAGTTTACAAAGAACAGTTCACCATTTGCGCAACTTGGCAAAAGAAACTGATAGGATTTTTTTTAATGTGTCAAAATGTTGGAAGTGGAAATACAACGTATTGCAAAAGCCTTTCTGCTCTACTTTTCTGGACGACAAAAATGAAGTCATTTTGTGTTCCTTTTTCCCTTCTGCTCTAGCATTTTGTTTAATGCTAGAGCAGAAGGGAACCTCTTTAATGTTATCAAACATTAACAATAACAGTGTAAGGGTTTGACTTCATTGACATTTACCTTTCTATCGACAGCACATTACCCTATATCTGCTTTTGCGGTGAAGTGTAATATATAAAGTTCTTGAGTAACTTTCTGAGCCATTTAAAATTGTGTTGCATAGCTTTAATAATGTCAAATAACATTAAAAACAGCTTTTATAAATTGGTCACCACTACTTCTCTCCTATTTCTTTTTCTATTTTATTTAACAACCTTCATGTTGTAGAATGATTTCTTAGCTAATGACTATGTTTCAATTTTGAATGTAATTAGAGAGGGAATATATGAGCTAAAACCTTTACGTTAGTGAAACCCGCATCTCGCAAATGTCTGCATTGTGTTCCTAAGGCAATCATTTAGCTCTTTGTGCACAGACATTTTCCAGCAGGAAAGTTTCTACTATAGTAAACAGTGAGGTTACAAAATGTGATAAGTTTTGTCTAGTCCGAGGTACTGCACCATGTGATACATATGTTAGATGTGAGCACACTAGTTTGGCTCAAGTGATGAGCTCTAATTTCTCAGTGCGCTGCTTTTCGATTTTGCTGTGCGAGTGCTCCAGTGTTGCTGGCATGTTGAGCTGTACAATGTGGAGTCAGTTGTGCGAGCGTTAAATCACAAACGTTTGGTAATAGATAGTAATTTGTCATCACTCAGACTGTGGCCACTGTTTCTGTTTGTTCAAGTGTTGCTTTCCTTCTTTCCTTTTTTTGTGTGTGTGAACAAGGATAATAATAAAGGTTATGCTGATGCAAGATCAAACTAACTTTGTCGCAGTAGTGAGCGGTAAAATTTTAACCCAATGCACTCATACTTTTTGGTGCAAGGACAAAAAAAAACGTCAGCTGTCTTACCAAAGAACTTTCAGTTCTTTGATAAGACAGCTGACTTTCTTACGGTAGGAAGTTGTTTGTTAGGAAATGACACGTTAACTATTCTGAACCATGACAGAATTCAATAGCGGCTAAGGATACACGGGCCTTTAATGTGGGGCCATGCTCTACATTTATACCACTTTCTGTATCATAACTAGAGACTGCATTTTAAGTAAACACCTATTTTGTTCCTTGTGTTCCTATCATGCCATTTTGATATATGAGCATGAATTATAAGTCAATAAGTGGCTTGATAGTGTTTTTAGAGTGCCTATAAATACCTATCTTTGATGTTTGTGCCTAGATGCCTATAAGGGCCTATAAATGCTTAATTAGAAATTCGCACCTATACGAATGCTATTTAAGCACAAATTTCATTTTAGAGTGTAGTTTGAAACTGTTATTTATGTTTCGGGGCAGCAACATTGAGTGTTCAGAACTCTATGTTGTTCAACCTAGTCCTCTAGTTCAACCAACTTCTGGATACCAACCGCTGGCAGTAGCAAAATGAGGTGTGTCGGCCACCATCAGCCGCCATGGCGTGAGCAGTTTGCGAATACGAAACAAAGAGCCGTCAGGAAAAAACAGTGTGAAGGTCAAAAGAAAAAAAAATGCTGTGTACATGTGGTTTTTCTTTTGTTTGGAGTTTATATCTCAAGGTGTACACTGTTAGGGGAGAAATTGACCCTACGCGATTGGACACGGCCGATTCGAGGCTATATTCCCATCTGCTTTTTTAGCGGTCTGACTATTTATTTATTTCAGAAATAAATAAATAAATACGATGTATTGCCAGCCTCACACATGAGCCCTTAGGCCGGGGGTGATACATAAAGTGTAACATAAAGAAATACAACAAAAATGGAAAACATACCACGCATAGCCAGAACATGGAGGGTGCCAACTGTTGGCACCCTTGTGCCACTGTAAACAATAATTTTTTTTTTTTTACAGTGGAGTTGTTCGAGCCGCACATAGCTCTGTGATGAGTAAACGGAAATTATCATTATTATGAAACAATACGTGTTTTTTTTTTCGGCCTCCTTTTTTCCCTTCGTCGTTTTCTTATTTTCTGCTCGGCTTTTTGAGCACAAGCCGCAGCGACTACATAACTCTGATGAGTGAGACAAGTGGAGAAACGAAAAAAAAATATATAGAAAGAAAGGGATATCCTGGGTGAAAAAATTTCTTGGCAAGGCGGGTTTGAAACCGCGTTACCCACTATCCGAACGCGTCCTAACCACTCGGCTGTCCCTGCACGCTAGCTGAGCATAACAGAGTGTTGCATAGTGTAGCATGCCAAAGCGGTGAGAAAGTAGCGTTGAGAAGGAGAGCAGTGAAGGGCAGCAGAAAAGAGAGAGGTGGGCCGGAGGGAATAAAGCATGACCCAGAAAGAGATAGAGAGGAGGAGAGACAGGAAGAGCAGACGGAGAAATATTCAGAGATAGAGAGCAATAAACGCACAGAGAAAGAAAGGCAGAAATAACCGAAAGATGAGAGGAAGAGAAAGAAAGACGAAAAAATACTGCGAACGACACAGAGAAATAAAGAAGGCCGCCCAGCTTCATCATTCCTTCATGCTTGGCACCCGTACTACAAAGTTACTTTTTTTCTTTTCGGTTTTTGCTTTCCTGTTGTGGATAGGTTACTCACGTCTTTGTTTTTAACTGATTTGCATTTATGTGAAAATTTATTGTGCCTACATTTTAAACATTTGAGGTATAGCATGTGTTTTGTCAGGTTATTTTCGGTGCCTAAAATATTGTTTTGCCTGCCTACTTTTGGCGCCTAAAAGGTGATTTTTTGTGCCTGAAAATTCGGCTTCTAATCATCACTTTTAGTGGCCACAGATTGGCTTAGCTGTTAGATAGAACACCTATTGACTTAGCTGGAGATTACATTGCAGCCTAGCTAGGTTGTGCAAAAAGTAGACGTGTATAGAAAATACGTGCATGGTAAATGCAATGGGTATAGAGGTTAAAAAATAATGGCTGCTCCCAACAAGCAGGAAGTTATTGAAAAGTGAAGGTCGGAATAAATACAAAGGATATATATTTGCAAGCTACTGAGAGAAGTTATAGTTGCAGAAATCCGAAAACTGAGGACCTCTGACCACTTTTGTATCGTCCTTCACTTACTTGTATTCTTGTCTGGGGAACATCATACTTGTATCGAGTCTGGGAACATAATTGCGTACAGTGACAAAATGTAGTTTCGGTCAAACTTCACGGTCTACTAATGCTGCTGCCAATCTGTTGCAGTAGTTGTACATGCAAACTACTCTTACAAACAATATTTTATTATCTGGCGTCAACCTTTTAATGAATGCTCGGGAACATGATACAAAAACCTCGAGTCTTTACACATCTAAGTACTAGGTTTTTGCAAACATTGCTTCATCCTGTATGCCTGCTTACTCTATTCAGCCTCAGTACCTCATAAGCTTTGAATACTCATGATGCAATGCAAAAAAATAAAGATTTTGCTTTGCCAATATTTAAGTCGTTAAGTGGCATACATTTCATACATGTTCTATTGATGTATGCAAGAACTGTTCTAGTCGACATCATATATGCTTATGAATTATTTGTCAGGAACTACTGATATGAGTTAGGGACAGTAATCTGCTAGCTGTATGCATGGATTGAAGATTACTTGTCAGAATCTGTCGAAGTTCAACTTGCTTCCCTGTAACTTCAAGAAGCCCTATGGCACCTCGAAGTCCTGCACCTAAAATTTTGCTAGAAGAAAGATCAGAGTTCGTCGGTGTGAGTAACCGACCAAGCCTTTTACACACACTGTGGAATATATTGTAGCAAGCACTCTTTCTTGCTTTTTGTTATATGTATCACAAGTGAACCTTGCACATTTACGGGGGGGGGGGGGGTGAGACATTTATTGTGTCTTATAAAATTCGGTTGTGCTAATAAAAACTGGCTATAGAACTTGCAAGCTATATTTTAAACAGATACAGGATGTACTGGAGCATAAAATTACTTTTAAATTGTGTTAAGTGCTTTTTTCTTTCAATTTGCTCAACATATGTACTTTTTGTTAAGATCGGCTATCTGCACAGCGATGCAGTTTTGCACAAATATAGCTATTAACACCCCCCCCCCCCCCTCCGTAAGTTTAAAATTGTGAGTGCACAACAAAACTAGATTTGTAATGTTTTTTGTTTGTCAATGCAAGAAAATTACCTCCTATGAATGCTTTCTTTTTATAAAAAAAAAGAGACAATGCACATAGGCTGCCCATTCCTGTTCCAGTTGTGTAAATATCACTAGTCCACACACATGAAAAATTTTATTGTTTGCATGCACCCAATAGTTCTTGAAAGGTAGACAAACTGCAAAAATGTAGTTTTTAGAGAAACACAGAAATCACAGGTAGTACGCTTACATTTTTTGTCAACTTTTGTCAACATGTCACAGAAAAAGTGCCAAAAATTATTTTTGGAACCATGAGTGTTCAAGTGTTATGTATTTTCTGAAAGGTAATGAAATTCTCTATCAGTGGATTGCATAATTGCAAAATTGAATACTTTGGCCAAAGCAAGTCTTACCCCACTTTAGCATTGCACTCATATTGCTGACATGCAAATATCTATAACATGTTTTCATCTGCAGCTTGTGTGCTACACATTGAAAGCAGCTGCAGCAGTCAGTTCTTTTCCTTTACGTGTCTACTTTCCAGACAATCTGTTGTATTGGATATTTGCATACTGCAGACCCAAAGGTCGCATCTGACCCTGGCCATGGCAGCCCATTTCGATTGAAGTGAAATGGTCGAGGCCCATGTATTGTGCGACGTCAGTGCACACTTAAGGACAGACGCTCAAAATTTCCGGAGCACTTTACTAAGGCATCCCTCATAATCTTATCGTGGTTTTGAGATGTAAAACCCTACATATTATGATTAACAATTACATACAGTCACTTTTACAAAGAGCAAAGACATAGAAAGCAACAAATGCATGGTTAAGTTGAGAGTTTATGTTTAATTCAATACCAAAACATCTGAGCCAAGTTCACCGTATTCCTCTCATCATACGCACTGTTTGCACTAGCTGGTTAGGTTTTCCAACTGCAGTGGCTGCAAACTTTTCGGGTGGGCATTTCAAAAGGGCCACTAAGTGCTGAAGGCTCTCAAGTGGTGGCAAACCAAGGTCATCCAGCACATTGCACAGGTAGCTGATATCGGTAGCCAGCTGCGCTGATGCTTGCCGTGTCAGCTTCTCAATCTGCATCACTGTGTCAATGTATGTATACATTGTGGCCTGGGCTACGCAACCAAGGAGGTAGTCTGCCACGTGGTCAGTGCTAATCCCTTCAATTACATGAGGAAGACTGCTGTGCTTCAACGCCGTAGACAAAGCTTCATTCTCTTCGACAATGAATGGCTCAATGTGCTGTGGTATGGTTAGCAGGTATTGCCCGATCTGTGTGATGTACTCCATGGGAGAAATGCTGAACGCCGGCAAGTCTGTTGCCAGAACACCGTCTGGGTTCTCGAGAGACCACACCTTTAGGGAAGGCACACTGCTGAAGTGACGCTGCACTTCGGCAAAGACAGTGTCAAATGTGAACTTGGTGAACTCTGAGCATAGCTTTGCAATGGCCCGCGAGCTTTCAGGGAATGCAACAAAGTTTTCTAGGTGTACCTGCGTAGAAAAGTCCCTCAAACTGCACTGCATGGCGGTTGGGAGCAGCAGTGTGCAGTGATCATTCAGTATGTTACCCTTTTTTTCTTCAGTGGCCTCGTCAGACCCATCAAATGTGCTTTTTTGAATATGGAGCTGCTTCAGTGCTGTTTTGATGTTTGCCGTAACGCTCTTATCGAAAGCAGCAAGTTGAATTGAGATTTCGCCTGCTGTCTGCATG